AATCTAGTCCCTCTGCACTCAGCAGGCCGTCTTAGACAGCTTAGAGTGGGGCGGAGTCCCTCCTGGGGGTGGGGTTATTGGGTCCTCTCATGCTGCTGCTATATGGAGGATGAGTCCGCACTGGGATCCCTCCAGCTGCTCTCTTTGTTCTCTCCCCAAAGCCTCCATCCCCAGTCTCTCCTCAAATGTCACCAGATGTCTCTGTGCCCCCTTTAGCCAGGGATCTACTATCTGTGGCTGCCACTCTGCACTCAGAAAGCAGCTTAGACAGCACAGGGCAGGGTGGAATCCCACCTGGGGGCGGAGCTGTTGGGTCCTTTGATGCTGGTGCCACTCAGGGGGAGCGGTCTCTGCCTGAGCAAGATGGCTACTGCCACATGGGGGATGAGTCAGCACCGAGATTCCACCTGCTATTTTCTCAGTTCTCTCCTCAAAGCCTCCTTCCCCAGTGTCTTCTCAGGCGTCTCTAGCCCACTCTGCCCCTGCCTTTTCTGGAGACCAGGGTAGGTGGCTGCAAATAAAATTTATGCATTGGCCCTTGAAACAGTTCTTTGTGTCTCCAGCCGCCTCTCTGGCAGAGAGCAACCCTGCCGCTTTTCGCAGCTGTCTGTTTTCTGTGTACCTTTTGGGCTCTGGTGCTGTGGGCTAGAGATCCCCACTTTTGGTTTAGACCCCTTTCTTCTCAGGGGGATCCAACTGGCCATTTCAGTATCCTCCTGGTGCTGCCTCCCGTGGGCGCCCTGCCTGCCTTCTCCGGTCTGTACCACACTCCTTACCAGTTAGGTTGCGCTAAAACTGAATCTTCTGTCACCAAGGTTACAAGGCTCCTCTCTCGCTATTGTTCAGTTGTTTGTTCCAGGTGATTACTCCCCAATTTAGTTATAATTCCAGGTTGCTCCTGGGAGGAGGTCAGTGTGACTTCAACTCACTCCTCTGCCATCTTGATTTTCTCCAGCATCACTTATTTTTTGACATTTGGCCATCCCAGTGGATGTGAAGTAGTATGTCATTGTATTTTTAATTTTCATTTCCCTGATGACTAATGATGTTGAATATCTTTTCGTGAGCATATCCATCATTTATATATCTTCTTTGGAGAAGTGTCTATTCAGATCCTTTGTCCATTTGGGTGGCTTGTTTTGTTTTTTTTTATTGTTGAGTGGTAAGAATACATTATATATTTTATATACAAGTCTCTTATCAGATATATGATTTGCAAATATTTCCTCCTGTTCTGTGGGTTCTCTTTTTTACTTTTTTGATGGTGCCCTTTAAAAGGTTTAAATTTTTATGTTCAATTTATCTTTTTTGTTTGCTGTTATTGCTGTGCTTTTGGGGTCAGATTTGAGACTATTGCCTAATCCAAGGTCTTGAAGATTTATGCCTTTGTTTTCTTCTTAAAGTTTTATAGTTTTAGCTCTTACATTTAGGTCTTTGACCCATTTTTAGTTAATTTTTATATATGGAATGAGAAAGGGGGATCCAAATTCTTTCTTTTGCACATGGCTATCCAGTTGTCTACGCATCATTTGTTGAAAAGACTATTCTTTTCACATTCAATTGTCATCACACCCTTGTAAAAAAAATCAACTGACCATAAATGTGAGTTTGTTTCTGGACTCTTAATCCTATTCCATTGATCAATATGTCTATTCTTATGCTAGTACCACACTGTCTTTGTTACTATAGTGTTGTAGTAAGTTTTGAGATTAAGAATTGTGAGTCCTCCAACATTACTCCTTTTTTAAAATGCTTTTAAAAAAGATTTTATTTATTTATTTATTTTTTAGAGAGCAGAAGGGAGAGAGAAAGAGGAGAGAAACATCAATATGTGGTTGCCTCTTGCATGCCCCATCCTGGGGACCTGGCCCACAACCAAGACATGTGCCCTGACTGGGAATCTAACCAGTGATCCTTTGGTTCACAGGCCGGTACTCAGTCCACTGAGCCATACCAGCCAGGGCTTATTCTTTATTCATTTAATTGTTTTGGCTATTCTAGGTCCCTTGAATTTCCATATGAAGCTTAGAGTCAGTTTGTCAATTTCTGCAAAGAAGCCAGCTGGAATTTTGATAGGGATTGCATCAAATATATGGATCAATTTGGGGACTATTGCCATTCTAACAAGGTTAAGTCTTCCAAGCCATTAACATTGATTGTCTTTTCATTTATTAATGGCTTCTTTAAGTTCTTTCAACAGTGTTTTTAGTTTTTAGAGTGTAAGTTTCACAATTTTGTTACATTTATGTATAAGTATTTTATTCTTTTTGATGTTATTATGAATGAGATTATTTTTCTAATTTTATTTTTGGATTGTTGTTTGGAAGTATATAGAAATGCAATTGATTTTTGTACATTGATCTTATATCTTGAAACTTTGCTGAACTTGTTTATTAGTTCTATATAATAGATTTTTAGTAGATTTCAACTTTCTTAGAAAAAATAAACAAATGGGACTACATCAAACTAGAAAGCTTTTACACAGCAAAAGAAACCATCAACAAAATGAAAAGGGAACCCACTGAATGGGAGAACATATTTGCCAGTGATACATCTGATATTTCCAAAGTATATAAAAATCTTACACAACTCAACACCAGGAAGACAAAAAACCCAATTAAAAAATGGGCAAATGACCTGAATAGACACTTCTCCAAAGAGGACATACAGATGGCCAATAGATGTATGAAAAGATGCTCAACATGACTAATCATCAAAGAGATGCAAATTAAAACCACAATGAGATATCACCTTACATCTATCAGAATGGCTATCATTAGTAAGTCGACAAACAAATGTTGGCAAGGATGTGGAGAAAAGGGAACCCTTTTATACTGTTGGAAGGAATGTGCATTGGTGCATCCACTGTGAAAAACAGTAAGGAGTTTCCTCAGAACATTAAAAATGGAACTGACTTTTGACCCAGTGATACCACTTCTGGGAATATATCCCAAGAAACCCAAAACACTCATTCAAAAGAATATATGCACACCTATGTTCATTGCAGCATTATTTGCAATAACCAAGATGTGGTAAACAGCTCAAATGCCCATTAGTAGATGAGTGGATAAAAAAGCAGGGACATATTGATGTAATGGAATACTACTCAGCCACAAATAAAGAAGGAACTCTTATCATTTGCAACAGCATGAATAGACCTGGAAATTATTATGCTAAGTGAAATAAGCCAGAGAAAGATGAGTACCATATTATCTTGCTTATATGTGAAAGCTAATGAACAAAATGAACTAACAAAATAGAAACAGACACATGGATACATGGGACAGACGTACAGCTGCCAGAAGGCAGAGAGGTTGGAGAATTGGATGAAAGAAGGTGAAGAGATTAAGGAAAGACGTGTGTGTGTGTTGGGGGGGGGGGTCTGTCCAGAAAGTATCCATCTATATAATATGGAAAATAGAGATATTTCTTGAAGAAGATATAAGATACAAGAAACATTGTACATAGGACAATTATGACAATGATGCCTCAGTCCCCTTCAAAGTAGGCCCCATTGCAACTTCACATAGTTTCTCCCAATCACCATCAACTGCCCTGTCATATTTTCCTGAATTTTTTCAATGGTTTGAAATCTCTTCCCTGTTAAAGGTGATTTTAGTTTTGGGAAAAGCCAGAGGTTGCAGAGCTCCAAATCTGGGCTGTAGGGGGGCTGAGTCACCTGGGGGATTTGATATTTTGCCAAAAACTCTGCACAAACGTGATGCATGAGCAGGCATAGGCACATTGTTGTGATGAAGCTGCCAATCCCCAGTTGTCCATAGCTGTGGCCTCCTGAATCATCCGAATAGTTTCTGCAGAGGAATGTTCAAGTTTAATGCAAAATTTGATGCAGATTTGTTGCTCTCCTTGCTCAGTCATTTTGGATGTGATGGCCACGTGGTAGACATGCTAAGTCAAAGGCATCTACCACCCCCGCTGACTAGTACAGTGAAATACTAGTCACACTCCTTGGCTGCCAGGGTACATCAATGTCACACAAACTGTTCTTGTTATTTTAACAGTAGGTGGACTGTGTGTGTGTGTGTGTGTGTATGTGTGTAACATATAACATGTAGACACAGAAAACGGTGTGGTGACACAGACAACAGTGTGGTGATAGTCAAAGGAAAAGGGGGGTGGTGAGTAGGTGGAGGTGGGCAAAAGGGGGGAAAACAGGGATGGAAAGAGACTTTGCTTTGGGTGATGGGTGCACAATGCAGCATGTAGATGATGTTTTATTGGGCTGTACACTTGAAACCTGAATGGTTTTGCAAACCAGTGTCACCCCAATGTGTTGAAGGAAGGAAGGAAGGAAGGAAGGAAGGAAGGAAGGAAGGAAGGAAGGAAGGAAGGAAGGATCCTACTTTTAAGTGAATGCTTTTTGTAATATAGGTCATTGTTCTCTACTGTGCTTTTCCTAAATTTTGAATTTTCTTTTTTGAATTACAGTAAGCCCATTTTTATGCATTATTATTTTCATTTTGAATATCATGTTTCTGATAAGTCTGGTCTTAAATCATAACAATTTAGGTTAGTGATTCTCAGTTGAATGTGGGGAAGGGGTGATATTTTAGAATCAGTCTGGGGGCATTTTGAAACCACATATCTCATATGAAAATTTGGTCTAGAGAACCAAGTGTTAAGCAGAAACAAGATTGAGAGCCACTGGGTCAGGCCTTGTTAAGCAAGTACTGTGCCTTCTAAACATTCTGTTGTGAAGGAGAGGTGCTTGTGTAATTATTTGTGGTCATTGTTATTATTATGAATAGTAATGGAAACATCTCTCCACAACAGTTAAGAACTCATATAAATGTCAATTGTGCTCTGCTGAGAAGACAACAATATTCTGGTCTTCGTTCTGAGTTTGGTGTTGGTAGTTGCATACCTATAACATCAGTGTGGTTGATGGGTTCACAGGAAGAGCTCAGTGTCTACTGATTATCTCCCTTTGGATTTTCAGGATGAGCTTTGTATTGAATTTGATGTCTTTTCCTTCTCAGGCCCTAACAGAACATCTGAGCTCAAATGAGATGCTGGAGGACACCAGCACACCTGAAGAGATGCCACCCCCAGAACCCCCAGAGCCACCACAGGAGGTGGCTAAAGCTGAGAAGTAGCCTATCTATGGAACAGACTTTTGTTTGTGTTTAATTAGGGCTGTGAGAGATTTAAAGGGAGAAGATAAACCTGAGACAAAGAACAAGTAAGGTGTTTTTCTTTGGTCTTTATTCACCCAATGGCACACTGGCATTTTCTTGCTGCAAGTTTTTTTTTTTTTTAATTATGAGCTCCAGGCAGTCACAGAAGATGTCAATGATCTCTGATAACTGGACAAATGGGTCTCTTGGGCCCTGGCACTGGTTTTTCACAGCCTCAGCCACGGAATCTCCTTGGACTCCCCTTTCTTCCCTCTGGACCTTAGCTCTCCTGCTTGGGGTGGTAGGTCCAATTCTGGGTTTAAAGGTTCTTGAAACTGGCTCAGTCCTCTCCAGCTGCTACATGACATGAGTCGAGAGATGGTCACAGAGAACTCTGGCCAGGGAATCCTAACTGGATTCTTGAGATCTTCAGAATTGAAGAAGATGGTGAGTGGGGTTGGAGGATTCGCCTGGCTACAAAGTGCCACCATTGCCAACAAATCCTTTCAGAAATGGGTCAGGTAACTTCCACTTGTATTTATTCATGTAGTTTCTTCTATCTCCCTTGTCCACTCTCTAATACCCAAGCCCCACTCTTTCCCAGTTAGATATATGTAAGTATTTGCAGTATAGATAACAATTTACATTTCTTGTAGACTACCCCAAAACTTTTTAATACCTGTGCCATCCTCAGTAAGAATTTATGAGATGCCAACAGCATCGCCCCTTGCACTCTCTGTCTCATCTCTCCTCTCTCATTAGCTCCTTTTCATTTTTTCTTCTTCTGAGTCTTGCTCCCATTAGGAGCAGGAATGGCAGTAATAAAAGTCTGCACTTTGGCAGTTCCTTTCCTCAGAGGAATTCTGAGTGCTCACTTAAACACTAACCCCCCACTCCCGATTCTCTGTGTAAGGCCTGGAGAGGCCCTGAATGCACAAAAGGGGAAATCAAGGCACAGAGAGGCTCTCCTCTCCTCTCCTCTCCTCTCCTCTCCTCTCCTCTCCTCTCCTCTCCTCTCCTCTCACACTATGTCCACTCAAAAAAGAAAACAAAAAGGCAACTAGTACTTCCATTAGGCCTCGGCTGAGTCAGGAGGGAAAGCCGAGCACTGCTGCCCTCCCGGGTAACCCACTCTAAGGCCTTGGCCCACCTCGGGCTTGGTAACCACACCGGGGGCTTCTGCCAAGCTTCACTCTTCCAGCACTTCCACCTGCAGAGTCCCAGAGCCACTTCACCCTGGGGGTGTGCTGTGACCCTCCCAGTCAGCTCTGCTCAGGACCTGCTCTATTTCAGGGAAGAAGATTTATGTATTATATGTGGCTATATTTCCTAGAGCACCTGTGTTTTTCTCTTTCTAAGCCAGGGTCCTGTCTGGGTGACTTATGGGGAGGGAGAAGTGTAAATCAGAACTTTTAATCTATTTGAAGTTGATTAAACTGTGTCTAATGCAAACTGCCTGCCTCCTCCTTCCCCCTTATATTTCAAGAATCATCATGGGGGTGTATGTCTTTGTGTAGTAGGGTGGGGATGGGGTGGGGGTTGAAGGGGTTGCTAGTTACTACCTATACTTTCATTTTCCAGGGGACCCTTGGGTTGGACAAATAGCTCCCAAACTCTCCATTGATCTCTACTACATTCTGGGCTGAAGCTTACCTTATTCTGGACTATAAAGAAAGGGCTTTCAATGCAATATACAATGTTAGCAAGATGGAGAGGGTTGGGGGATATATTAATGTAAGAGAACAAGTTCTTTATTGAGATATTGTGTCTATGCAGATGAATGCTGTTAATTGTAGATGTCTTGGTTATTAAAGCAGGGTCATCAGGACCTCCCTTGGGAAACACTTTGTTAGTGATTTTTAACAAGTGATGGTATTTATTTCATTTTAAATGGTCTATAATCAAGACTCCCTACAAATCTCTATCTTACTCTTTCCAGTTAATCAGAATTAATGAAATTTGGCTGCTTCCAGATTTTTCTTTACTTCTTTCTATTTTCCTTGTAGCATAATTTGAGTTTAGCAATTGAGAGATAGAGAGATACAGAGACAGAAACAGACTGACTCTGACTCAGATTCCTCTCTTCTCTGCCTCTACTTTACCATTCTCTTTCTGGCTCTCTCAATTTGTCCTTGTAGTTACATTTTAGTTCAAAATAAGGCCAAGCCTGGAGAGTTTGGAAGCTATTAGATTTTTCCAGCTAGCCTGTCACTCAGATGAATCCCTTTTCAGTCACTTCTCAGCCCATCCTGTCTCAGCCCATCTCCTCTCCTGGATTAGGATGGATTTCTCTCCTCCCTTGATTTACCTCAACTACTCTTCTCCTGATCCTTAGGTCAGTCACAGGAGCCTTCTCTTTCTAAGGTGAAGGGTCAACATGGAAATCTCATATCTCTAGTATGAAATAATGTTTTTTTTAGGTTTCTGCTTTTTCATACTCCCTGCCCCCTTTCTTTACCTGTATACATCTATATTTAAGATCTTGGCCTGAAGATCTTCCATTCATACCATGCACCTCCCTGGACTGTCCTTCATCTGAGTTTTGATCAGAGGGGAGACTGGAGAATTGGTCCTTTCAGCAGTATACATTCTCTCCATCTCTTCCCTTCTTTTGCATTCCTTAAATTTCCTACTCAGCCCACTTCCCCAGGCAAGGATGGTTGACACAGGTCCAAAACCTCTGGGGGATGGTGGGATTTGGCTATTTGTGACTATTTCTTCACGTCCATTTGGCTTTGGGGCCCTCCTTGCCCTAGCAGACAGCATCCACTCCCCTTTTGCTCTTTTCCCCCAGTGGCAAGTGGTGAGTTCTAGTTCTATAGCAGCCAAATTCCGTTTTTCCTGCCCTAACCTTCTGCCATTACCCCTAAATCCCTTTTCCTACTGACCAAATCACTTTACCTTGTTGGGGAAAGAAAAAGTATTTTGTTTTTAAATCTATTTTCTAACTTGAATGCAATTTAATATGTAAATCTCTGCACTTTTGTGTGAGCCTACAAATATGTATGTGTGGTGGGTTTTTCACTCTCTGGTATTTCCTAATAAAGAAATCTTTCTTTTCAGGGGAAGGCAATTAACGAAGGAGACTTGAATGGTTTTAGAAATACAGGGATGTCTGCTTCTTTGTGCTTCTGCCTCCTTTCTTTACTTGTGCCTAGCATGAGTGACTGGCCCTGTCCCCCACCTTTTGACCTTCTTCCTTTCAAAGGGCCCTCAGCCTAGTGGGGCAGATGGAAAGCCCTATCCTGTGTCTGCTGCCCCTCCAGGACCACTAAGATTGGCTCAAGAGGTAACCTAGCAACCTAGCCCTCATCCCTTTCCTCAGGGCCTGGCCCTGTTAGTCCTTTTCTTCCAGCTCAGTTGATTTTATGCTCCTGAGGCTGGGGCCAGGCTAGGGAAAATCATCAAAAGATCACAATAAATGGTATTTAAAAATGATAATTTGCTCTCATGCTTTGGTGCTATTAAAGAAGAGCAATGTTTCTAATAATTCAAAAAGCATTTGTGTCAGTTTTGAGAATACATTCTAGGAATTGCTTGTTGTTCTTAAGTGATAGGTTTTACAGATAGTATCAAAGGCTAACACTGAATATCATTAGTTTTAAAGGATGCAAGCTCATCTCGCAAAAAAGGAATCATTGTAGATTTCATATTTCAAATAAACATTAAAAAGGAATGGGAACTGGAAATATGTATCTGCAAACTTTTGAATGGCATATAGGACATCAACATAACTGGAAAAATCTAGTGTAATTAACTGGACCTAATTATTACACAAATAAACACAAAATATGTTTTTACAATTTTAACATATACACTGAATTTCCAGGAATGGAATCATTGTGTAAATGAAGGGACAGTGATACTTTATTTTGCTCAGAACTTTACCAAGAGTTATGAACTTTTGAATATCATATCACCAATAGCTATGCCACTCATGGATTTTTAAGTTACCAATACAGCATACCTGTATTAACCTTCCTTTGTAGCAGTTTAATTCACAGTGAATCTACATATGTAAGTGGAAGCATCTGATTATTTTCTTATATCTTTAAGTATAGTCTTGCTCAGGCATTTACATATTGAAATACGTATTATTTTACTATAAACCACTTTCCTTTTATTTCTCCTTTATATTATTGTTAGTGTATTATATTGCTTCTCTGGAAATTATATGTATATGCAGGTTATATTAACTATGAAATTCCTTTTAGGGTAGCAAAGGGTGCATTACAAAATATTGTATATACCCAGAAAAGGTTTGGGCTGATAGAATTGAGAACCATTGGACTAGATTATCTCAAATATTCATTTCTACTTCTAAATATTTGGAAAAGAGAGAAAATAAATAAACTTCTTCCTCCCTTCACACCTTTAATCTACTTTTATAAAGTAACACATGCCCATTATTAAAAATTGGGAAAGTAATAAGATCTTTAAAAATCACCCATAAACTCATTACTAAGGTATAATAATCACTGTTACTGTTTTGGTATATTTCTTTCTTGTCTTTTTTGATGCATGTATATTTTTAAACATGCATATTTTATAACTGGAATTCAGCTATGAATATAACTTTATAATCCTGCTTTTTTTCCTTAGCATTTTTCATATCATTAGAAACTATTTGAAAATATTTCTTAATGATTCCATAATATGTACATAACCCTTCCTCTATTGTCAGACATTTAGAAGTTCCCAATTTCTTATTATATTTTTACTGAAAACTAATTTTATTTTAAAATTAAGTGCATAGCACTCATCTAATTCCATTGGTGTGGACTTTAGCACTATACTCGCCATTTGCAATTAATGTTGTAACAGATACATTTTGGTTTGCAGTCCGTATTTGAGTAGTGTTTAGTTAGTGGACTTTGGTAAAGTCCTTTATACATATCATTAATCTCTTCACAGTACACATTTAATGATGGCCCAGTAATCTCAGGAAAAAAAGACTGTCTTTAAAGACTAGTCAATAAATTAAACAACATGAAATCCACATTAACCCTCCCCCCCACCTGCATCCCCCAAAGCTAGCAATTGTGTGTTGTATTTATACAGAGACCTAATGTTTAAAAAATATTTCTGGTTCTCCAAACAACCCATCCCACCCTACCCTGTGTATGTAGCAATAGTAACCAACTATTTTATTCTCCCGCCCAAAATTAATCAAGTGTTCTTTAGCTTTTTAAAATATAAACTGGGAAAGTGTTACTATAAACTTTTTTTAAAAGGCATATTCTGTAACAAGAACGACATTTAAACCAATCAATAAAAGCATTTGACAGTACATTAAATTACCGTAGGCACCAGTTGTTGTTTCAAGTTGGGATCTCCATTCAAATATCTTACATTCATAGTATTATTGAAGTACTAATACTGAAAATTGGACTCCAGGTTGCTGGGTTCTAAATATATGGGTTCATGAATATGAAATATATATTCCTTTGAATGCACTTCCCCCCAAATAATTCAAGTTCTTTTGAGGTAAGACGTACCAAAATCCAATTAGCAGTCTTCTATAAAGAGGAAAAATGATTATAGTTTCAGAAAACAATTTTCATGCTTGAAAATGGTCATGTGAGTGTTCTTACCTGAGTTATAAATATTTATTTACCAGACTAATAAATCCACATCATGCCTTATGTACTTAACTCCTTATTATTATAAATAATGTCATGATGAACTTTTTAATCTATGGGCATATCTGTGATTATTTCCTTAGGATAGATTCCTAGAAGTGGAATTACTGAGTCAAAGGAGGTGTTCTTTGGAAGGCTTTTGACAAATACAGACAAATTGCTTCACAGAAAGGCTGTCCCAGTTTGTCCCGCCAAGTAGTGTCTCATAGAGCTTGCTTCATGTCTCATTGAAATATTTAAACATTTAAACACATCTCATTTAAACATTCTGTAATTTTATAGTTGTAAACTGGTATCTCAGTGTCACTTAATTCCTATTCATTCTGTTTATAATGAGTTGAAACATTTTCCGTACCTCCCCTCTGCCTTAGGTTTCTTGACATTTGTATTCTGTGACTTGGCTGTCCAAATGTTGTGTTTACTTTTCTTCAGGTATTAGAGGGTTTTCTGCTTGGTTAATAAATGAGAGTTTAATAGTTCACACTCTACCACATGCCAGGCAGGAAATGAAGGTGGCCATGATTTAGAAGTGGTTTTATGACTCTGGTACCTGGAATAGAATTACTTCCCTAATATTCCATGCTCCTTCACTTTCTTCAAGCCTGCCACCCCTGTCCATTTTCAGCTACCTGGATGTTCTAACATGGCTAAAAGTGTTGTAGTTTTTTGCTCAAATTAGAGATATGATGATTATTTGTCATAAAACCTGGGCTCTGTTGGATATCACTGAAACATACTGATCATGTAGTGCATGCCACTTGCACTCTCTTGCTCTCTCATTGAATTAAGTACTGTGACTTAACATAGGTCACATAGACAGTTACTGGT